GCTGGCAGGCTGTGAAGACAAAGGAACTCTTCTCCACTATTGGTGGGAGTGTACATTGGTGCAATCATTGTGGAAATCACTGCAGAGATTTCTTTAAAAACTAATACCAGAGGCTCCATCTGACCCAGATATTTTCTTGGTATCTTCCCAGAGGAATTAAAAGTATCATACCACAGTAATATACGGTCACCCATTTTATAGCAGCACAGTGTGTAACATGTAAGAGCTAAGTCTTGGTAACAACCCAAATATGCATCAACCAATGAATGGATAAAGAAGATGCGTTTTTTTCTTTTTATATAATAGAATACTACCCAGTGATAAAGGATAAATGAGACATTTCTAGGTATATCGATGTACCTTGAGATCATACTTTTTTTTTTAAAGCGAAAAAATAAAAACAATGACAGAGAACTTCATAAAATAATAGGAAATTAACAATGGTTAATGTATTGCATACTGTTATCTTTGAAGTAGTCGCTCAAATTACAAAATATAATCATGCAAAATTGACTCAACAATGTAAGCACAAACTGTTCTTTTCACTGAATTTAAAGAAATTAGTAGCATACTTATCTTAGCCATCTTTTGTGTGTGTATATAAACATACATGTATTTTTTTCCAGTTCTTCTTTTCTCCTGTTCCCCTTATCCCAGTGGCTCTTTCCCTTTCAGCAGTTTCTTTCCCTTTCATGGTATTTACGATAGATTTTGGATTTTACTTATTTTCAGCTTCTTACGCTGGGAGACAATATGATGCTTACATATGCAAGTCTGATTTATTTCACTTACAACGAGACTATACTTTTAAATGAAATAAATTGAACATGCATGTTCAAGTATCGCATGGTTTCTCTGGCGTGAGAAACCAAAAGTGTAAATAAGATCCAAAATGTGCAGCAGATACTAAGAAAGGGAAGAACATGTTCAAATGAGAAGGGGAGCAAGAGAGGGCAGAGGGAAAAGGAGCAAGAAGCAAAAAAGACTAGAAGGCAAAAATGGAAACGGTGGGGAAGAGCCGGACACCGAGCAGCAGCAAGATGTCATGTACAGGTACATATTCCCTGTGATGAAGGGTGTTGTGTGTACTTAAAGTACACCAATAAACAAAAATTTAGCTCAGCGGCGCAGCATAAGCACCTGGCTGGCAAGCACATGCAAAAGAAAAAAAGAGAGAAATCAATCAGTAACAGATGTTGGCAAGGCTGTGAAGAGAAAAGAACATTTCGGAGAGAGTGAGTGTAAACAGATACAACCACTATGGAAAACAGTATGGAGATTCTTCATAAAGCTGAACTTAGAAATCCCATTTGATCCAGCTATTTACCCTTTGGGTATCTTCCCCAGAGTTGTACCACAGCAATGCTTTGTACCTATGTTTATGGCAGCACAACACGTAATAGCTACATCTTGGAATCTGCTCATATGCCCATCAACAGATGAATGGATAAAGAAAATGTGGTGTCTATATGCAGTGGAGTATTACTCTGCCATTAAGAAAGATAAATGAGGCATTTGCAGGAAAACGGGTGCACCTTGAGACTACAATGCGAAGTGAAGTAAATCAGACACACGAGCTTGTACATTGCACAGCTCCCTTATATGAAAAATTGTACAGGAAAGAGAGAGAAAGAAAAACAGGAATTATATCCTAAATACGTTTCTGTCGTCAGTTTCTGGTTTTACTCTAGTATGATGTGAGAGCTTACTTCGCGGGATTTCCATTTCTTTAGATATGTTTTTGTTGTGAGCAAAGTCTATTTTGACAGGAAAAAAAGTAAATTCCCACCATAGGCAAAGCTATAGACAGAATGGTTCGGTGGTTACTTTCATCTATGGGGGGTGGGGTTGGGAGATGACACCTGGAAGGGCGAGTGCTCTGATGTGAGCCGGCAAAAACGACCTAAGTTTACTCATACGTGTGGTTATACAACTCTGTCAATGTGCTGGAGTCTACTCAATCTTACATTTTAAGTTTGTAAATTAAGTGGTATGCAGTGTTTTGGTTTAACAAAGTGGTTTTATTAAAAAAACATTTTTAAAAAACAAAGAGACCACTAAGCCAGGCAGTGACACATGTGTATAATCCTAGCACGTGGGAGGCTAAGGCAAGAGCACTGTGAATCTGAAGCCTGCCTGGAGTACAGAGCAAGTTCAAGGACAACCTAGACTAGAGAGAAAGGCCCTGCTCCAAAATAAAAACAAAAAAAAAGTATAAATCAGGCAACTTGGCAGATTTTGAGGGAGTTCAGTAGTGAACTTCTTCTAATAAAGTCTGATTTCAAGTTGTAGCTCAGTTAAGCCATGCACACTTAGGGAAGAGTGGCAGAACACGCTTGTTGACCCTGAAGATACCACTCTGGCATAGGAAGTATTTTGAGCTGAAAGCTACTAAGCAGACACATGAAAGATCTCTATCTTCCCCTTACTTGCCTAATGTGTATAAATTTCTAAGGGTGTCCTCTCAGTGTCATGAAAGAAAGGCTGGTTGCCAGCCATAACTTTAGGTCTTTACCATCCTGGATATGGTTCCACAGGAATCTACCTAACAAACTTTACTAATCTCTGTCTCCCTTATCTCCCCATATGTTTCCCACAAGTCACAGCCCTTAGAGAATCCAGGTCCTTTTCCTTTGTACTGTCACTTCTCTAGAAATGTATCACTGTTCTTTATTGCACGATGTCACAAGTTGGAACCTAAGACACTTGTTTCTAGAACGCTCATGGAATATGCTGCTACCCACATTAATAACCTGCTTATCTTCTCTTTGCTAACCTGTCTTTTGCCACATGAGCCCCAGCTGGAACTCAGAAAGGCACAGGAAAAACAAATTTTTTTCTCCCATACAACAGATAGTGAATAGGGAGAATAAACAAAATAAGAGAGGAACTTTCATGGTGCAAAGTCCTCAGAGAGGTTCTGGAAGACAGGAATTAGCATAGAAAGAAAGAAAGACCACTATTTCATGAATGAAGTGGCATGCATGGGTGTCACACCTGTGTAACATATTTGAGGCTGTAGTGAAAGTGAGAACGGAAGGGAGCCTGAAGGCACCTGTTTCCTCAGGAGTTAGGGGGCCAGACAGTCAGGAGAACTGCTTTGCCCAACACCAGGAAGCAAGGAAATTAGCAAAGTTTTCCAAAAAGGTTCTCACTAGAGAATGGGAAAAGTAAGTAAGAGCAGATAAGAAAATGAAGTATTGAGAATCCCTGAGGTTGAATTTTAACATTCTACAATGGAACCTTATCAATCAGTTTTGTGAACAGTAGGAGGAGCAGAGAACAGAAAGCTATTCTGACTTAAGACTGGACGTTCACAGAGTAGGTTAGGGTATCTAGGGTGAGAAAATTCAATTACTTTTTTGATAAAGAGCAAAAACAGTCAAGTGTGGTGGCACATGCTTATAATTCTAGTACTCTAGGAGACTGAGGCAAGAGAATCACAAATTACTGACTCAGCAAGACTGTTTCCAAATAAAAAGTAAACTATGGGCTGGGAATATAGTTCAGTGTAAAGGCACTGGATTCAACTCCCAATACTGAGGGAAAAAAGGATGACAGCAAGAATAATGATTAGCAATGTTCAAATGGGAAACAAAGAATAGAGGAAGGGGAAAGGAAAGAAAAGTAAAAAAATGAGAAAAGAAGGAAAATATTAACGAAGCTTTTATAAATGGGGAGGGGAGGAGGCTTGAAAGGAGGGTAGGGAAATGGGGGAAAAACAAGTTATATCATGTACAGGTACAAATTCTCTACGATGAATGTGATCATTATGCATATCTAAAATGTACCAATAAAATCTGATTAAAAAAATCATTAGCAGATTTCTAATAAATCACAGATTAAAAAAATACTACTTTTCTTGATTTACTAAAAGTCACCAAGATCAATTTCCCACAAACAAGGAAATGCTTCTATACAACCCTCATACAACTGTCAAAATATCAAATTTCTGTACCTCCACCATCCTACCCTCAGCCCCATGCAGATTTTGCCACCTGTCCCATATAGTCCTTTACTGCAAAACGGTCCGTAGAGATTCATGCCCATGTCTTTCCAAATCTTCCTCCACCAGGCATTAACTCAGTCTTTAACCAATTTTCACGACTGCAACCCTCATGCTATCAAATGTTTCTAATTTAGCTTTGTCTGAGGGTTCAACTGATTAGACTCATGTAACCTCTCTCTGGCTGGGAGATCACGGAGGTTAGGCCAAGTTCTCTGAATCTTATAAAGTTGCACACAAGCTTTGATGCATCCTACTACTGATTATACTAACTGTGATCATTTCATTAAAGGTTTATTACTGCTCTTACAAAACTGGTCATTTCTACAAGCATGTGATTCCTTTTAGTAAACAATGACATTTAAAAACACTGGGGACTGAGTATACTCATTGCCACTGGCGTGTTGTTGCCCCTAACCCACCCTGAGTAGATGAAGCTTAGGAATAGAGGTACAGACACCTCACTCCTTCTCACAAACAGCACTTCTATTTCTTTCTTCCTTGTAGCTCTTCCTCCCCCAGAGCCCTACAGCATGAATACCTACCTTGATCAATCAATCCTACCTAACTGCTTCTGGACTAAGTGGTTCCACAAGGGAAGAGACGAGCAAGAGAAGGAAGAATGAAGATTCTATAAAAATCAAATTTAGGACACTGTAACAGTACTTTTCAAAAGAAATTATGCTTTTTCTAAATTGCCTAATGAAGTACCAGAAATTAACTGACAAACCAGCAATGATATTTTGAATCTAAGAACAAAAACCCAAGCTACTAGAGATACTGTTAAGACCACTACCTTAATAGTCTAAAAACAAAAAAATTTTTTTGACATTATCTTTCCATCCTTTCCGCCTTTAGCATTTAGGACTTGTTTTCTGAGGTTCCTGAAATATAGAACTCAGTAAAGCTTTTTCTGAGCAAATAATGAAGAGCAGATACTAAAATAGTGAATCAATAATTTGTTAAATAAGGTAAATATTAAAAATCGGCTTACCTGTTTCCATGCAAGTCAAAAACATAGATATTTCCTTGATGGTCCCCAGCAATTAGACAGTCTCCTGAGCCATCAAAAGCCACATTCAAAAATCGCAGGATTTTTGGATGGTAATCAGAAGTGCTATGAATGATGTTCACTATAATTCTATCAAAACAAAAAACAAAACACCTAAACATTACATTCTATGTCGTGTTACTTGATATATGACAAGCATAGCTTTTAAACTAATTTTGAAGCCTTTTTTTGCCTACTCATTTTTCCCTTTCCTGTTGCTGTTCATTCTCCTCCTCCTCAAATCAATCTTAAGAATTTCTGAAAACAGCTTAAAAACTTATTGATTATAAAGTAGCTACTATTCATTTACTTATCAAATACTTTAAAGTTTACTATATGTCAAACACTGAGCAAGCCAGGAGCTAAGAATAACTGAGTGACAATGGTCCTCGCCCTCATGGAGTTTACAATTGGTAATAAAATAAACTATTTGCCTGTAATCCTGGCACTTAGAAGGCTAAAGCAGGAGGATCACCTCAAGTTTGAGACCAGCCTGGGCTACATTGTGAGTTTAAGGTCGGCCGGCACTACAAAGCCAGACCTTGTCTTAAAAAAAAAAAAAAAAAAAAGGGAAACCATACATATAAACAACATTTATGAATTATGCCAAATGTGGTGGTACATGCCTGTAATCTCAGCACTTGTGAGGCTGAGGCAGGAGCATCGTTCCAAATTTGAGACCAGCCTGGGCTACAAATGAACTCAAGGCCAACCTAACTACATAGTAGATCTTGTCTTAAAAACACAAAAACAAAACAAACCCCATCTCATTTACTTATTTCTCCATGTGACAAATGAAGTTGCGTTCTTTGTGAATTATGATTAAATGATACACAAATGGAATAAAACTTTGTTTCTGTGATGTAAAATGTTTCTAAGTTAATTAAGCACATAATTGTACTCTTAGCACTTTGGGGACCTGAAGCAGGAGGCTCACAAGTTTGAGCCTCGTCTGAGAGAAAACTATTCCAAAATAAAAAAAATTTAAAAAGCCTAGGGATGTAGCTCAGTCATACAGGCACTAAGTTTAATTCCCAGTACTGATTTAAAAACAAAGACCATACAGCTGTATTTGTTTAAAGTTACTATTCTTTTCTGAGATGAGGATATTGCGACAACCATACAAAACTTGTAGCCCAAACAACTCCTTAAACTAATGTGTGTGCGTGTTTGTGTTCTGGTCCTGAAAGCCAGAGAATCTGTTCTTTCAAGTCTTTAATCATGAAATTTTTATTAATTGAGTTTTGGGTGAATTTCTAAATTTTAATACTTAGAAGCACTCTCTCTGTCTCACTGAAGCATCCTAAATTAAATGAATTAAACATTTTCTTCATGTTTATCTAAACTTTCAGCTATTGTAGACTCTTAAGGCCAATAGCAAAAAGCTTACACTGCTGGTTATGGTTTGTATGCCACCCCCCAGCCTCACACTGTCATAAGTGGAGTTTTTCAGAGGTGGTTGAGTCTAGAAAGTGTGATGCTGGGATCAAAGGTGTGTGATCATTACATCAGTCCACTGATGGGTCTGGTGTTGTTCTGAGAGGGGATGATGGGGAGGCCCACACTGGGTGTGAGTGCTACCTGCCCAAGCTGGACAGAACATAAGGGTCAGCAAGAGGGCTGGTGTGGTTGCTTGCCACTTACTGCTGCTGTTGCTATGGCTTGCTGCCTACTACCCACCATGAACTGTTTCTCCTCTGCTATGCCCTTCTGCCGTGCCATCCTGCCTAGCAACCACCCAACCACTAACTGAAACCTGTATAAACTGTAAGCCACATAAACCTTTCCTCCTTTAACTTTGGGTGTTGTCTGTTTTGTCTCAGCAAGGAGAAAAATAACCAAGACACTGCTTCTTGTTTCGGCACTCTGGACTGATCACTGGGTCTTCACCCATGCTAGGCTATACGCCAATCTAATTCACTTTTAATTCTGAGGCAGGGTCTCACTACCTTGTCCATGTTGGCTCAAACTCTCCATCCTCCCAGCTTAGCCTTCTGAATTAATGGAAATTCTGCACTGCATACTGCTTATTTCTATATGGGCCTTAAGCATTTAAAACACAAAAATTAATGTTCTGAAACGATATCTAAATTTTTTCTGACAACTAAGACAAAGCAAATGACTTTTCCCTTCAGTCTTGTCTTCTGTAACAGTACATGTTCTGAGAGCAAAATTAGGTGAACATTGTTCAAAATATGGAAAATACTTCAAAACACTAGGGAACAAACGCGTGTAAACGTACCATATAGATAGATGTAATAACAATTAATGGCTACATTTTGACTTTGATCTTTTCACATAAATCACAAGGATTTTGGAGCAACTTCAATTGCTCAAAAGTAGCTGAACATAATTTCCTCAGTACTTAAACTCAGTACTCAATAAGAACATCAAGTACTTACTGAGCACCTAATGCAAGAAGAATGTGTCTAGTAACTGTAATTATTCCTGCTTACAGTGATGCACTGGCCCGTGGTCACAGGGCTAATAAACCAACACTTATTCCAACGAAACCTTTTTGCTTCTCTCGATACCACAAGGAGACGCGTCTTGACACCTGGCAGACACTCAACAAGCGCAAGACGAACGCAGGTGACCACACATGCGAATTTGGACACGCGTAAACTTCTGCAGGCCGGGAGGACCCCATTCTCTGTTGAAGCCCTCACCGAGTTCCCAGCAGGCTGCGGAGCTGCACCACCCGGGCGTGCGCACCGAGTTATAGGAACACGAGCGCGACGCTCACCGCGAGGCAGGCTCGGTCCCGGAACTCACCCGGGAGCGACCTCCGACCTACGCCCGCGAGGCTCCCGCCGGGCGATCCAGAACCAAGGCAGGCTGGCCGCGCCCCTGGCCCTGGTCCCAGAGCCCGCACCACCCGGCCGGGACCTCGCCCCTCGACTCCGCAGCCTCCCCCGTCTCGCAGCCCGCGCCCTCCGCCCCAGGCTTTACCCGTCCCGAGCGGCCGGCGAGGGCTTGCGGTGCCATATTTTGCCGCTCTCCTTGTTGCCCAGGTCCGTGCTCTGCATGCCGAAGGCCTCTCACTACTGCTACCCGCCGCCGAGTAACCGTCCGATCCCTTCCCGGCAGGCCCCGCGCTTCGGGCCCGGGAAATTCGAGCGCCAGCCATGCGTCACCCGTACCTGCCCAAGGCACTGACCTCGCGCGCCACACCCCTTTCTGTTTACAACCAATCAGTATGCGGATCCCGCCCAAACTCCGCCCAGAAGGGGGCCTTTGCTCACCACCAAGGAATTGGCCAAAAACCTTTCTCTAGACACCCCCCCTTCCCGAGGGCTCAAAGCTTGCTGGGAATTGTAGTTTTCTGTAGATGGAGCCTGGGAATTCTGTACTCCAGTGGCCTCCCAAAGTTTTAGGCTCCCCACAGAGTCATTCAATCCTGGGGTCCCTGCATTCCACTTTGAACTTGGTTTAAGAACTATGAAATGGGGCAGAGGCAATTAGCAGAGAAGCAAGGAGACAAGCGCATCACGAATTGAAAGGTTCCTGTCCCAGAACTTTCAGGCTCTGGGAAATAGCCTTATAGGTGAATAGTTTATTCTTCTTGACATTTTTACCATCCTGATTAGTTTATCAATTACATAATCTAACCAGAGGCTTCTGTTTCCTGATGCCCACTCCATCACAGTTCAGAAAATCAATAATGTCATCAACAACTAGCACCAAATGAACACATCCAGGACTCTGAAATCATCCTCATTTCCTCGTTTTTGTTGCTGTTCTCTGTTCCTATCGCGACCCAGAAGTTGCTGATGTTTCCTAACCCTTAGACATGTGACTATTTCCTAGAAATGTATCTCTCTCTATCTTCTTTTATTTATCCTGAATTTGAGATGATTATTTTGAGGTCTGGTTATGTTACTGGGATATCACCAGCTCATTCTTTTTATGGTTGAATAGTATTTCATAGTATTGACAGACCATAATTTGTTTATTCACTCACATGTTGATCAACACTGGTGTTGCCTTGTTTTGGGCTTTCCATATGAAGCTACTACAAAAATTCCTATGAGTCTTGGTATGAATGTATGCTTTATTTCTCTTTGGTGAAGTTTTATAGTGGAATGGTTGGGTCATATCTAGTAGGCATAGGCTTAACTTTTTAAGGAACTATGAAATGTTTTAAAGTAACTGTGCCATTTTACATTGTCACCAATCATGTAAGTTTTAAATAAGGTCACAAAGACTGCCTCCCTTGTTTTCTTCTTTGTGAATATTTCAAAGATATTAGGATTGGAAAGTTTTATGAAGCTAAGGGATTTTCAGTTGTTGATTTGCAAAGCCTGTCTTCTTGCCCTTTCACCCACAACAAAAAATATGCATTCCTTTTGCTGTGATGATATAAGAGCTTGAGAGAGAAAAAGTGTTTCCAATTTGTTAGAGCTAAATCTACATTTGGATTGCCCAACATCTGAGCACCTTTTCTCTTTGGGAAAATTTACAAGATAGTTAGAAGGCAATTCTATAACTCTTCCAAATCTAGGCCAGTCAACAAGGTAGCAGGCAAATTAAAGTGGCAAACTAACCAAAAGCACAATTTGAAATACAAGTATTTACTGCAATCTCTCCAAAAGCATCAAAGAGGAAGAAATTAATAACCTTACACGAATTTCTAAATGCCCTGCCCCATCTCATTCAGTCAGTCTAACCTGTTTTGTTGTAACTGATGGGTTCTGCCGTGTAAGCTCTGTCAGGCTCAGTGTGGTGCCTGCCCAACAGAGTGACAGTACCTGAACCCAGCGTGTCCCTCCAATGTTGACTTCCACGTTCTTCTTCCAAACTGAAATTGAACTTCCCACTTGTCGCACGCACGCCAACATTTCTCCAATCAGCTGTCAATACGTCATTGTACCCAGTCCTTCAAATAAAACCTAATAAAAGCCCACTGCTGCTTTTCTGCCTCAGAGGAACTTTGCACTCTTCTACAGCCCTCTTGTGCCCACAATAAAGGCCTTTTCCCGGTTGCCTTTTCCTTTTTTTTCTCTTGTTTCTCAACCACACCAAGAAAACACCTAACAATAATAACTAACAAATCCAAAGTCTCAATGGCTCAAAACCATTGAACTAATCATCCAACCTGTGGCTGGATGGTTAGCTCATTTTAGTTCTCAGAGACCCAAGATAACAGTAGCCACCACTCCCAAGTCCTTTAGTGATATGATAGGGAGAAAGAAAGGAGAGTTCTAGAGAATTCAACCCAGCAATTAAATGTCCAAAAATGTCATTATTATTTTGCTTTCACTAGCAGAACTAGAGCCTCATTCCAGGGCTAAGAGTTTCAATTCCACTGACCCGTTTATGCATAGTTGTTACAATGCTGTGGAAAAACCACCTCACCTCTGTGGCATTCAATGCTATGCCTCTAGCGCTCCTATAACTGGTATCAGCTAGGTGACTCTGCTGATCTCAGCTGGACTCACATGTCTAGGGGTCAACTGGCTATCTGCTTTATAAGCTGGCCTTGTCTAGGGGAACTGAGAAACTCAACCCAGTTCCAAGCATCTCTAATCCTACCACAGGCGAGCCAAGGCATGTCCTCATAGCAATGCCAGCAGCACGAATGAACAGAAGACAGTCATGCAGTAGCTACAGGCTTGGAGTGGTATGTCATCACTTTGACTTCCTTCCACCGAACCAGCATGTTAACATGGCTGAGCCCAGGAAAGAAGAATATTGCAGAAGAATATTAAAGGTGTTCCCCAGAAAGGAATGGAAAATTAAGACCATTTATGCAATCTATAACACCTACTAGGTGTTTGGAAGGGGGAGAAAACTAAAACATTTAATGAACAGATTTAGTAACTCTGACACCATCATTCTTTCTCAGGGTCTAAAACACACCTCCATGCCCCCTGATTGACATGTTATGAAATTTTGTTGTAGTTTTTTTCTTTTTTTTAATCCTTGAAATAAAATGGGTTTGGAAAATAAAAAAATAAAATACACTTGCATAACCCTCTTTCCTGCCTCCTTTACTTCCTCTTTCTTTTTTGAACCCAGGGACTTCATACTGACTTACAGCTCCTCTTTTTACTTTTTATTTTGGACCAGGTTCTCACTAAATTGCTAGATTTCCCAGGCTGGGCTTGCATTTGTGATCCCCCTTCCACAGTTCTGGGACTACAGGAGAGAACCACCATTCCTACCTTCCTCTTCTTTCTCAAACCTGCCTTGAGGGCAGGGGATTTAGCTCAATGGCACAAGTACATGCGCGGCAAGTGTAAGGTTGTAAGTTTGACCCTGGGTACTTAGAAAATAAAATAAATAAATAACACAAAACCTTCCTTGGATCCCATAAAGCACCCGGACTATTATCTCTTACTTTTTTGTTATTTAATGTCTTTCTGCTTCTTCAAGTTTTTTTTTCTTCCATTAACGGCAATTGCACAAATTGAACCTAGAAACAAGAACCTCTACTCCTTAAATGTTGGGAAAACGTTGGAAAGGAAAAAAATGTTGGAAAGATTATAGACTCATGGAATTTAATGTCTCTTGTGTCCCTTCCACAAACTCACTAATCGTGTGATTCACTGACTGATGTTGCAGGCCCCAGCAAGAGTGATAACTCTGTGAAGGAAAGAGCTCCCCAGCACCAAGCAGAGCCTGCCACATAAAGAGAAGACAAAATATACTCCTTGTGCGCAAGAACTGATTTGTTTTGTACCTCCTAGCACATAGCACAGTGCCAAGCACATTGAAAACACTCCAAACATGCTTATTGAATATTCAAATGATTATTTAACCCAAAGTTACTTCAGACTGTGGTTTTAAAATTAAAACAATACAAAGCAGTAGTGGGAAAGGAGAAGGAAACCAGGAGAATGGGATTCTAATCCTAGCTCAGCCACCAAGCAGCTGCATGATTTTTAAATAAAACTGCCTGAGTCTGGTTTCTCTCATCCGCAAACAGCAGGAATAGGAAAGGACTTGTTTGAGCCCCTGCCATATAAAATTCAGCATGGAAACTCATCTGCTCTGCTCTTTTTCTTATGTGCAATTGCAAGTAAAATACCATTTCTATTTCTAGGTATGCACTCAAGAGATCACAACCCGATATAATTCATGTTTACACACAAGCTTTCCTCCTGATACACAAAATATGGATGCATGTCAGTATAATCATCCATAAAACAATCAATGTTAAATTTGGAGCTTGTGAATGGTATTTCTATTTTGTAGGAGATGAACTCCTCTTAAGAGGAATTATTATTTCTCCATTTCTTCTGGGGTTTCTCCCAAAACACGTAAGACACATAGCTTCATTTTGACTTTTTTAAGTAGAAGAAAACCCTGATATCTATTCTTCACATTTCTGCTTTGTGTTCCCCAAATATACCAACTTTGGTGCCACAACTTGTGTGTGTGGGGGCGTGGGTGTGTTTGAGACAGGGTTTTGCTATACAGTGCAGGCTGGGCTTGAACTCATTTTGTAACCTGGGCTGGTCTTTGAACTCACAGCAATTCTACTGCCTCAGCTTCCCAAGTGCTGCAGTTACAGGCCTGTGCCACCACGCCAGACTTGGTGCCACAATTTGAAAACAGTTTTTCAGTCTACTGACTCTCCAAACACTGGTTTCATTAACTACTCATGAAAGTCTTAACATGCATGATATACATTATGCCTGCACAATCCTTTCTACCATAGTTGCAAAAGGACCTGGATGAGCCCTTCTCTTGTCCACAGTAGGCCATATCTTGGTCTTGCCCTTCATTTCTTGATCCTATCATCAGCTGGCCATTCACCCCACATTTTGAATGCTATTTGTCAGACCCTGTTCTAGGACCTGTGGCTGCAGGGTTCCATGTCCTTGCAAAGCTCACAGCTTAAGATGGGGGGGGGTACGGAAAGAAACAGATGTTTGAGTATAGTACCATGTGATCTGTACTACAAGTAAGATATGGTGAATTTCAGAGAAGAGAGCAGTTCAGTTAACTCTCTGGGAAAGAGACAGCGATGTGAATGGTGAGGGAGAGGGGTGACATTTGAGTTAGGCTGGAAGGACTGAGGTGAAGAAGGCTGTCTGTACAAAAGAAAGATTAACTGTGATGCTTTGTTGTCCTTGGAATATAATGTGGTTATTGAGGCTCAGAAAGTTAATACCACAAAGCGTGACATTTTGGCATGTTGAGCTGAAATAGAAT